CAGAGTTACTCACTAACTTCAAGAGTCTCTACTGCTATCTTTATGTATTTGACATTGGTTGACCGAAATCCGGTGTTCTTCAAGACTTCTTGGATGACACCAAGAAAGGGTATCAATTGTAGGTTTTAATTCACAGTTTGAATCTCTAACAAACTCAGGTCAATGCTGCTGGTTTATCTCAACCACACTTTGTGTGTGTGTGTGTGTGTGTGTGTATACATGTATATGATGCATCTGTAGAGTATATTATGCATGTGTGTTCACATGGAGGTCAGAGGACAAGCCCAAGTGTTGGTTCTTGCCTCCCCCCAGGGTCTTTTGTTGTCCATTGCCACAAACAACATGTTAGCTGACCCACAAACTTCCAAAGAGTCTCTTGTCTCTGTCTCCCATCTTGTCATAGGAGTGCTGGGCTGTAAATAAATCCTCAGGATACAAACTCTGACCTTTGAGCTGCAAGTGTTTTACCCACTGGACCCATCAGCCCAAGGACTACATTTTTGAGGAGCAAGAATTTCTAAGGCTTCTTCTGGCCACAGCCTGAATACAGAACCATACTAATATTAAGCTGTTTTAAAAGAGGGGCTGAAGGGTGGAGGAGGAGGTAGAAGAAAACTCGGGATAAGAATAAGGAAGGAGTGAAAAGAAAATGACATTTTGAGAAGTGACCTACTTCCACCAGAGCTACCACAAAGTGGCATGTCCACTGCTGACAGCTTAGGACCTGAGGGCGGGGGGACCCAAGTTTTGATGAGTGTTTTCTATGCAACTTGTAGCCTTGTGTGTTGCTACATGGAGAGAGGGAGAGGGAGAGAGAGAGAGAGAGAGAGAGAGAGAGAGAGAGAGAGAGAGAGAGGTCATGCCTGGGTGTGTAGGGAGAACTGTACATACAGGGAGAACCAAGGATAGAGAGATGGATGGTAGACACAGAAATTCTTCTTTGTTTCAAAACAGGGTTTGAAGAAAAAGCTGTCCCTGCAGGCAAGACTTGCTTCAATCCTATAACAACCTTTACACACACAAATACACACACACTCACACAAGCCAGGTGGTGGTGCATGCCTGTTATCCCAGCTCCCAGAAGGTAGAGGCAGGAGGATAAGTAGTTAAAGGCAAGCCTCTGAGATATATGAAGAGGGAGCGAGAGAGACAGAGACAGAGACAGAGACAGAGACAGACACACACACAGTCATACACACACACATATATATGGAGAGAGAGAGAGAGAGAGAGAGAGAGAGAGAGAGAGAGAGAGAGAGAAATTAAAAAACAAAAACAAGACAACAGGCCTTGGACTGTCTTCTGACTTTGACAGCGACAGAAAAGGATGGGGGCCCAAAGGAAAGCTTTAGAGAACAAAGAATGCCTGAGGAGAAAAAAAATTAGGGAAGAAAATGTGGCACAGACACATGGAAGATCCAGAAAGAACGGGAGAGGGACATACAGAGCCTGTCAGGGATGCAGTCCAAGGGAAGACTTCCAGTCCTGGTGGCAATTAGAAGTGACCCATTTGGCAGGGCTGGCCCTCTGCAGAGAGGTTGCTGCCACCCTCTTTCCTGCAAGGCTTGTATGGACATGGCTTTCCAGCCCTGGCTAGGGTAGCTTGGTTCTGGCTGGTACAAAGAATTCAGTTTCTGCATTCCCTCAACTACCAGGTAGCGATGAGCAGAAGGCTGTTTCTAGGTGGGGAGCCAAGCGGCAGAAACCTGAGGGTCTCTGGGCTCTCAGATTCAGGCTAAAGCTGCTTCATTCTTGGTCTCTTCTATACCTTCAAGAGCCTTCTTTTGGTTCAGTGGATCCTTTCTAATCCCTTCCTCTAAGACGACGCATCAACAAAATCTCCAGCCACTTCTAGTGGAGATAGGTGTATTCAACAGATTGGGTGTCAACTAAATATATGGAAAAAGAAAGTAGAGGCAAAAACTTATAATTCACCCTAATTTTTTGGAATAAGGAAATTGTGGTATGCATTAAAATAATGGGGAAGTTGTGTATTTGTTGTAAACACTGCCCCGGCACTTGAAGATACTGAAAAAGCGGAGTCACCGCATATACACATAACACTGAGCTGAGCTCGGGATTTGGATGGGTGTCCTGGATAAAGGTGAAGATCTCGGACGTCTGATAGACGAGGAGTAGGACCGTTGGGTTACTTTGCTGCCAATATACACAAGATCTCCCTATCTCGAGCCCCATTTCATCTCTTCTTGTAGAAGTTCTCAGTCCTATCAGTATTTGAGTCATGGTGTTCCTGGGGGCATGGTGCACTAGATTTCTTTCTGCCTCCCCACTGCTATCCTGAACTTTCAGTTGAGCTTTCCTGGTCTGCTACATCAGGCACCACCCATCTTTCTGTTTCCTAGCTTCCAAAAATCTCATGCCACCGCACAACTGCTTGAAACTCTCCATTGCTGTGTGTTCTGATTTCCAAAGGAAGTAGAAGAGCATGTGTGTATGTCAATCAACAAGGTTTAAAAAATGATGTTATTTCATACGTGTTTCCCTTGGCATGGTGTAGACTGTGCGTAGCATCCATTTAGGGCACAATTTCTGCTGGCAGACCTGCACAACTGGATGTACACCAATGCTATGGTTTGGATCCTGGTTATTTCCTATTGCCAATAGGTTAGAAACTTGGTCCCTAAGGAAGCACCGCTAGGTGGAGGTGGTAGAAGCCTCATAGGTAGGATCTAGTGGATGAACTTAGGTGGTGGGGTTTGTTCCTTATGGGGTGGTAGGACTCCGGGTCCATGATTTCCATTTCTTTTGCTCCCAGAACATGAGATGAAGGAATCGGCTTTGCCATTTCCGTCTTGATGCCCTGCCTCACCACAAGCCCCGACCGAGTCTTGAAAATGTCTTGTGCATCATCACCTTGCAATCCATCTCAGGAGATTAAATGGGCTCATTCATGACTTTAGCAGAGAGAAAACACTACATTTTTTAAAATAAAAATTTAAGGGCTTTGTTTTATTTTCCAAATCTCCTCCTGGGTCATCCCACTCCAGACCCATTGAGCTGAGATGCTTAGCGTCCATTCTTGGAAAAAAGACAATTGCGTAGACTGGGGAGGAACCTAGACGGAACAGAGTGTGAAGACCGTGTGATAATCCATGTGCTAGGCAGTGTGGAGGAGAGAGGGGCTGCACCAACACTAACGCAGCTGTAACATGCTCATGGATCTCTAGCACCTAGCATAGTCCTAGCCAAAAAAAGAAATGATACTCAGTGTTTGCTGAATTAACAAATAACATGACCATCTTGCTTTATAATATGTCCTCCAAGCTACAAGAGCTACAAGCACTTTGTAGTAAACTCCTTAATGCTACCATTGAAGATTATTTTGCATGTTTCAGTTGTATGTTTTGATAGAGGGGATGTCAATGTATTGTTCATCTAGGACTAGAGGAAGTCACACTGTTTTGGTTTTGGTTTTGGGTTTTTTTTTGTTGTTGTTGTTGTTGTTGTTTGTTTTTTCGAGACAGGGTTTCTCTGTGTAGTTTTGGTGCCTGTTTTGGATCTCGCTCTGTAGACCAGCCTGGCCCTGCCTCCCGAGTGCTGGGATGAAAGTAATGTGCCACCACTGCCTGGCATGAGGTCACACTGTTTTAATGATGACTGCCATAAGTCTACTTCATAAGAGTGCCATATATCATCCTAATTTGTAATTTGTATCTACAGTACATTGTCTGAAACTATTTCTTTTCAGTCACTAAGGGATCTAACAGCTCAAATATAATGCAATTTCTGGAAAGGGAGTTATTTTATAAAAGAACAAAGGATTAATGGAAGTTTCATATTATAAAAATGCCAGTGTTGCAGCGACCTCTCCTCATGGAGAGGAGTCATTTGGTTCTCCGGGAAGATAGCAGGAAAATCATGTACAAGAACTGAATAATGTATCTCAGTAGCATGGAAGAGGAAGTTAGTGTGGTGGAGCGTTAGACACTTTCACAGGGTGTGATCATGGGGAAGGGAATTTCTTTGTTGATGTTTACACAGTGTGGTTGTGTGATAGTTTCTCAAAATTCTTCCATTGGAGCTTTATTACTAGGCTTAGGGATGCAAATTATTTCACCAGAGCACTGACAGTATGTTGGTAATGAGTGCTAAAAGGAGATTGCTTGAACTGCTGTTTGACTTAGGCTCATTACATGTATTGTCATCAGTTAGTATGGTGGTTTGAATAAGAATGGCCCCCACAGGCTCATAGATTTGTTTGCTTGGTCACCAGGGAATGTGCTATTTGAAAGGATCAGGAGGTGTGGCTTTGTTGGAGGAAATGTATCACTGGGGGGTGGGTTTTGAGGTTTCAAAGGCCCAAGCCAGGCCCAGTGTCTCTACCTGCTGTCTGCTGATCCAGGTGTAGAACTCTAAGGTACCTCTCCAGCACCATGTCTGCCTCCATGCCACCATGCTTCCTGCCATGACAATAATGGACTAAACCACTGAAACTGTAATCAAGCCCCAATTCAAAGCTTTCTTTTGTAAGAATTGCAGTGTCACGATCTCTTCATAGCAACAGAACACTGACTAAGGCAGTTTGCAAGGCCAGCTATGAGTTTTAGGATGGACATTGATGTTGTGTCAGATATTTAGTTGGAGACTCGCTTACAGTTTCAGAGGGTTAGTACATGGTCATCATGGTGGGGAGCATGGCGGCAGAGAGACAAGCATCACTCTGGAGCAGTAGCTGAGAGCTCATATCCTGATCAGCAGGTAGCAGGCAGAGAAAGAGAGACAGTGGGTTGGCATGGGCTTTTGAAACCTCAAAGCCCACTTCTTGTGACACATCTCTTCCAACAAGGATACACCTCCTAATCCTTCCCAAACATTTCCACCAACTGGGGGCCAAATATTCAAATATATGAATCTTTGGGGGCTATTATCATTCAAATCACCACAGCAAGGAAAATGAAAAACAAAACCCTTCAAGTATTTGTAGGGGGCATTAGAGATGTCAGTGTGCTTTGATTAGTTGAACTTCATTTCTTTTGCAGAAAAACATGTCATTGCTCAGCCAATATTTGTTTTTGAGAAAGGAGAACACACTTTCAAGGTAAGATCAAACTATTCTGGTTTTGACAAATAATACTTTAAGGAGGTAGTTAGACTAAGAGATGGTAGCTGCATGATTTTCTCTTGTCCTTCTCCACTAGCTGAATGCTCATGGAGTTGGGACTCAGAGACATCAGTTTGGTTGAAAATTCTAAGTTGTGGGTAAAGTGGTTTACCTAAAATAATATGCTTATTTGGAGTGACTTTTAAAAGGTGACTTAAACAAACAAACAAACAAACAAAAAGAAATAGAAAAAGATTAAGACGGTTGAGGATCTCCTTAGGTTCCTGTTGTTGAATGAGCCTAAAACTGGGTCTAAATCCAGCATGCAATATTAGTCTGAAAGGGATTATAGAGTCCATTTGATGTTGAAGCATCATCCTGGAACCATAGGGCTTGGAGGATCAGCAGCACCTACCCATTACCTTATTATGGTTGTGAGAATTCATTCTTACATCCAATCATTAATGAACTGGTCACAAAGGTCACACACACACACACACACACACACACACACACACACACACACAAACAAAACAAAACAAAACAAAAACAAAAACAAAAACAAAAACAAAAACAAACAAACAAAAAAACCCTAACTTTACTCCATTGTTGAAAGAGCAGATTCTTACACCAGATCAACCACTTCAGAATCATGAGAGCAGGTGCCTCAAAAAAAAAAAAATCTACATTTTCAATGAGTTTTCAGAAATGATTCTATAGTCACTGACGTCTATAACCACTGGGCTAGACTTCTCTGTTGACATGTTCTTGGCGAAACTGTGGTGTGTCATTTTATCCTTGTGAGCTAAAGAGCTCTGGAATTCTGAAATTCTCTTATACAGTGGCAGGTGGAAAACTGATGTAAAAACAGCAACTACTCAGCTTTCACTGGCAGTTTTGTGTCTTTTCAGAGACCTGCAGAAGACAGGCTGGATGAAGCAGCAGAGCATGGTAATGGATTACGTTCTGTGTTACCAAACCCCAAACCCCAATCTTTATACAGAGAAAATAAGTAAAGCATAGCATTTTGGCCTATGGCACCGACCTGTAAAACTAATGGTTTTCCTTGTTTTTAAGTGTGCACGTGGACTGGTTTGAAAGAAGACAGGCAGATAACTGAGAACAGGGACATGAGCGAATAGCCTCTGTGATTCCGAGCAGAACTTCAGGACATGTATACAACTTCCTGCAGAAGCCACATTTCTATCTGTTCCATGTTAATATGTCTGAGCATTATAATCACCTTAGGACCCCTAATATTTAATGCTGGGCTCCACGAGTCATCACATTGTGAAGTGATAACTTACATACACAAAGGGGTCGGTTCTACTGTGTGTTACCGTAAACACAACATTTACTGTTCCTGTTGAATTTCTTTCAGAATTCAATGGTTTCTCCAGAAAGCGGATAAGGTCTTCATCTGTTACGCTTCATACTACAGATTCTCAGGCTCTAGGAGGTAGGTATAGTTTTGACTACTATTCTACAGGTGAAATTTCTAAGCAGTTTTCAAACTGGTCATTTAAAAGTGAGCACCTATGAAATAAGAACATGCCAGCACTTTAAGAAGAAATTCATCTTACACTATATCTGAGCCAATTGAGAACACAGTTTGCCCATGTGCACCCCAGCATAGCCCAGTACTGCTCTGCTTAATGGGTTTTACTGCCTTTGGGCTTTGTAAAGTAGCAATTTATGTACACATATCTCCACCCAGTATGAGTTCACAAGTGGCATTTTTTTGTGTACCTAAAAGAATGTCTAATACAGGTCAGTATTCAAGAAATATTTACTGAGTTGAGTGGAAATAAAGTTAACTTATAATAATGAGAAGCTGTCTTTGTTTCAACTGATAAAAATAAAAAAAAAAAGTTTTGTTTGAATTGGAGATCTAAATTTTTCTCCGAACAACAGAATCCTAGTCAAACTAGACGAAAGACACACTTCTTACTGACCTGTATCTGCAATCTGCTTTTAGTGGCAGCTTCGTCTCAGACGCGCCTGAGGTCCTCATCATTCACCGATGTCCCAACCTTCCCCCCCTCTGGACCAGGTAAGGATGGACTCCTAGACCCTCAATCCTGACACTTTGATGTCTCAAAAATCATTCTTATCAACGATGAGTTTTCTTTCTCAGACATCATAAGATGCTAATAGTGTGAGCAACAAATCAGAGAGAAGTCGTAGCCATGTATGCCAGAGGGCTATCTGAAGAATACTAACCTTACAAATCCAGACAGTGAATGTATCTTTTATTTTTGGCAAAAAGCTTGAGCTTGGAATGTTTTAGGACTTCGTAAATGAAATAAATGGATGCCTATATTTAAAGAAGAATTCTGTGATGTACTGTATGCTGAATCAGTTGAGAATTTAGTTTGCCTTGTTTCTATATCAAGGGACTGCAGGAATGCTCTTCATAATAGGTTTTACAGCCTTGGTGCTATAGGCAATACTTTATGAAAGGTAGATCTACAAAGTAAAAACAGCTTGCTTTTTAAGAAAATTAGTATTGTTTACATATATAGCTTATATAGTACTCAAAATACAACCATGCTTTCAAGTATTATTCTAACACTTAGAATATGATTCTGTGAGAGATTTCACTGATTAAAATATTATTTTTCTTTTCTCAAAATTCATAATGCTTTGCCAAGTAAAGTGATTTTATTGTGATGAAATGTCTATCACAATGAAATGGTTGGCACTACCTTCACATTAAACAATGACTTATATTCCTGGGTATTTTTATTTGTATTGAACAAACAACTGCATTTTCCAGTGTTTGTCACTATGAAATTCTGTTTTTCTATCTGTCTGTCTGTCTGTCCATCCACCTGTCCTTCCATCCATCCATCCACCCATCCATTCATCCATCCACCCATCCATCTATCCATCCATCTATCCTTCTTATTTCCTTTTGATTGTCCTCTGCCCCCAAACTGCAGAGTTTTCAAACAGTTAATTGACATTAATAACAGTAATTACAGTCATGACTGAGCAACAGTGTATCAGACACCTCTCAGTCACAGAAGAGATGTGTCTCCATTCAGTAGACTCTCTGACCCCACATGGCACGCTGCATAAGAGAAATGGGGAGGGAGCTAGTCCCAGAGGCAAAGCATTCTGCTTCACTGTTTTTGTGTAAAGCAAAGGGACAGCTTTATTTGATCTATATAACGACTTCATTTTTAAAAATCAGACACACAAAGGATAGACAAGGCGGAGGACACTCATCAGTAAGCAGCCCTCCTACTTTATGCTGTACAGAGTCATAAATGGTGTTGGCAATGGGAACGGTAGCACAGTGTATGTGGTCCGTTTGTTGTCTGTTTCCAGTAAAAAAGATAATGAGGACTACCAAATCCCGCTTTGGTTAGAGCAGCAGTTCCATTCCAACACCATGAGATGATGTGCTGAAGAACACCTTAAAGGAGTGTTTCTAGTCCCTTGCCATCTCCAATAGTCAGATGCGGGCCACTGCAGTCCCTTTGAAAAGTACAGAATCCTATGTTGCAGCCATGACCAATCCTACCCAGCAACACACCTAGAGGAAAACAATCTGGCATCATTGTTGTCGCAGTTTGGTTTTTGTTACTGTGACAAAACACTGAGGGGAAAAAAAAAAACAGCTTAGGAGAGGGGAGGGTTTACTTTACCTGTGATGAAGAGAGGCCAGGGCAGGACTGCGAGCAGGAACCTGGAGGCAGGAACTCAAGCAGAGACCATGGAGGAGGCTGCTTCCTGGCTCCCTCTCTTCAGCATGCTTGACTTGCTTCTTCAACGGCCAGGACCACTTGCCTCAGGGGTGGCACTGCCCATAGTGTGCTGGACCTTCCCACATCAGTCATTAGTGAAGAAAATGTCCCTGTAGACCGGCCTAGAGGCCTATCTTCAGCAGGTATTTTCTCCATTGATAGTCACTCTTCCAAAGCGGCTCTAGCTTGTGTCAAGTTGACAAAAAACCAAAACCAACCAACCAAACAAACCTAGTCAGCATAGGTGCCATCTTTACTTCTCTCTAAAAGAGGACGTGAAGACGTTGTTGATAGTGTTAGAGCAGCCTGTGAGAGGCATGCATAAGCACACAGGATTCATTATCACTGCAGGGTTTGTAATTTGCAAATTTTCTTATGACACTAATCTATTTAATGATTATAAATAAGACTACCTCTTCTATAAAAGGCCTACTTTTAGACTTTTGAGAATTGAGCAGAAGTAGATAGCAAAACTCACCCGGCTATCACATTTTTAATGGGACCAGTCCTCCATTGAGCCCTACTTTCTAGTGGTATTAGTACCAATAGCGACATCTACTGGTGATCTCAGAACAGAACAAAATGTAAAATATTTCACAAACTTTAAAGTTTTTTTTTTTTTTTTTTTCTTTTAGTAAGGAAAAACAATGTTTTTATGACATCAAGTCTGGTGCAGAGGAATATTGACATGAACAGCATAGAGCAAGGTATGACTTCAGTTTCAAGAACCCCCGAAATTCTACCCCTCACCATTAATTTGTCTGTCTGTTTATTTATTTAATGTATTTGAGGCACAAGGGAAATTGTGTTAGAGTTTAGAAGAAAAACACCGGGCAGGTAAGCTATAAGACCCCAGCAGCTGCCTGATGAATAGAAGGGGTAAAAGCCATGCCACTGAGGTTGGCACAGCCATGCATGCCATGGAGGTTGCTCCTGAGATCAGGTAGATAAGTAGCCACATGGCAAGGAGGGAAACTTTGGCGGAAGAGTAAGGAAGCCCAGAAAATTGGTGTAAGTCTGAAGTGTCAAGGGAGACATGCGTGGAAAAGAGATAGAAAGAAACAAAGAAAATATCAAGCTTTGCTAAATAATGGAGAAAAGTAGGCAGACTCAGGACCCTATTGGCTGCTGTCCATAAGTTTTGTTTACCATGCATATTTTAATCTCTCTCTCCCTCCACCTGTGTGTGTGTGTGTGTGTGTGTGGTGTTGTGTGTGAGTGTGAGTGTATGTGTGTGTGTGTGTGTGTGTGGTGTTGTGTGAGTGTGAGTGTGTGTGTGTGTGTGTGTGTGTGTGTGTGTGTGTGTGGTGCTGGGTGTATGTAGGCAGGGCAGAGTGACAAAACATAAAGGATAAAAATATTTGATTAGACAAGTCATATGATCAAAAGAAACACTTATTTGGCAAATACACTGAGTAGCAGGCAATTCATGGGCTACATTGACTTTGACTAGTGTCAAAAAACTTACTTGTGATTTTTTATTTAAAAGAAGCACCATATTAAAAATAGGGACAAAGGAGGATTTCACCAAAAGGTAAGGTCTTTTCACTCTGTTCTTTAAAGGTCCTGTGAGACCTTCAGAGCATGTTTTAAGACCTGCTACTCTGCAGCCCCCTCAAGTTCAAAGCTGCGAACACCTAAGCAAAACATCTGGGCCTGGTGCTTCGAAACCTTGCAAACTTAAGGAAAATACCAAGCACAAGGTAAGAAATTCCCTTTGGTAGGAGCAACGTTGCAATCGTATTAAATGGACATCGCGATCGTATTCAATGGGAGAGTGTTCCCTGAACCAGATGATGTGGTTGCTCTCACTCCCAAGTGGGAAGGCTGGGTGTGCAGCAGGCAGTGGGAACTCCTGAGCATAGTAGGAACTTCACAATGCTGGCTGCAGGAAACTCAGGGAGGCAATGAGATGAGCAGGGGCCAGAACCTCTAGTCAAAAAGTGGAGTAGCGGGGTTCTGCCTCCCCAGCTGTCCAACATCACAGGGAGGCTCTGCCAGTCGAGGTCACATCAGACATCTTCACGGATAACAGCAGCAAAGATTCCGTACACAGAGTAACCGTGGGTGGAGGAGGGGAGCTTAGCAGCCTCCAGAGACAGATAAGAATTCTCTCTTCTGAACGCTGAAGGGTCTGAATTACTCACTGCAAGGCTTTCCTAAGGTGATCCTCTTTTGTTGGGGCATGCAGACGTGGGGTTCCTGAATGTTCTATGGCTGTGACACTCTGGAGGAATGGGGCATGATTTAGGCGTCTGGAATTTGAGTTATTCCATCAGCCATTTTTTTTCAAACTCTTGAGCTTGTTCAACTGGTTTGGTTTGGTTTTCCCCGAACACAATGACAGCAGCACATGGAAGTGAAGTGTATCAGCCATTTTGATTAAGGGAAAAGAATCAGAACGGAAGTTGTCTTGCCCTGCAGCTACCTGTGCTTATCCAAACAAGGCACCCGACACTCCCCTAACCAGGAAAAAATGAAGCCAAATTTGGTCAGCATTGTCCAAAATTGTTATGCTTCCGAACCTTCTTCTTTATAAGATATGATTTTGGTGAGACCCACTGTGAATTTTAATAATAATTTAATCAATTATGCATGGCAGATGACAAGGGGTTTATAGGATAAAACATATTCTTAATTTTAGAATGATATACTACTAAAAGTTTTAACTAAATACAATCTAGTAATTACTTTTATCTATTTAGGAATGTTGGGAAGAATAGTGTTAAATAAACTTAAATTTTGTAAGGAAAAGTTGACTAAGTTTTGAAATGTTATACACCATTTTAGAATGGTGTATAAGTATAGACCAAATTTTTGTTATATGTTATAACATTATTATATAAAACTATAACGTGTAGTTATAGTTATATTTCTTCCTTTTATAAATCTTATCTGTGTTGGTAGATGCATGTATGTGCATTTGGAAGCCAGAGAACACTGGGTGGCTGTGGTAGCGAAACTCTTAGGGTACTCCCAGGGACTGAACAGCCCTGAAAAGTCCCCCACTAATCCAGAAGTAATCATTAAGCCCGAATGGATAAAGTAGGTAAAATTTACAAAAGGCAACAAGTTTGTGAGTAGTATAATGAAATAGGCCATCTCTGAAATCAAAGACTTGCACTTAATGTTACTTCCATTTGGTTGTGTGAGAACTTGGGTGAGTTCTCCAAGTTCTTTCTGCCGGTTGCCTCATCTGTAAACTGTGGGCAGCAGGAGTAAAGAGTGCCCTGAGCCGTGAAGATCACGTGAGACGAGGCACGTGAAGGGCTGGGGGCGTGTCCCAACGCAGGAAGCTTTTAACATGTGCGACTATAACTGGTTTCTGTCTGATGTTTCTAGACAGAGCAAGTCTAACGACCCTTCAGATGGATTTCTTCTCCTTTTTTCAGGTATCCGAGGCGAACTCTAGTTTGCTAAGTGAAAATTTATCAAATGCCCGAAGTTCAGCCCAGCTGTCTACTGACCTACAAGTCTCAGAGGCAACATCAGGGTAAAATATTCAGCCTGTGTGTTCCTTCTCCAAAGTGTTTGGGACTAGAGGTGTTTCAGATTGTTTTTTTTTTTTCAGAGTTTTATAATATCTGAATACACATACTGTAATTAATATCTTTGGGATGGGACTAAATATAAATATAAAACTCATGTATACAGATTTACATACACCTTGAGTATATAATCCGAATGTAACTATATACAATATTTTTAATGATTTTGACTTTGACCCACTATATGAGGCCAGGAATTTATATCAGTGTTCAAAATGTTTCAGATTTGGGAAAGTTTGTACCTCTGATTTTCTAATTCAGGATGTTCAACCTAATGAGAAAACCAAAATGGTTCCTTTTCATTTTTGTTTTCTTTGACCATTTTAACTATTTGTACACTGTAATTTTCTGATATTGTTTGACTAAATTGACAAGATTCTCATTTGAAAGCACATCTTATATGAATGTTAGTTTAGACAGCCCTTTAGAACACGTCAGCTACTTCACCGTCATAATCACATGGGATTACCTTCATTATCTCATAGAGATAGGCTGGAATATTTCAAAAAGATATGAGTAAGCCTCAGGTACAAGTTTTCTCGCTATTAATCTTCCTTCCTTTTTTAAATGTCCTTTCCCCATCTTTCCAATCAATTTTGGTGCCATCTATGATGAATTGGCATTAATTGTTTAGATAAAGGAAAGCATCATGCATCTGTTAAGTGAAAAGTTAGTGGCTTAGTATTACTGGTGATGAAGGGATGTTTTATCTGTGAGAACACTGAAGGTGGTTGTGGACAAGCATTGACTCACGCGAGTAACCTCCACCCAGGTTGAGTACTGTGAGTTCATGGGGATGTGCTGAGGACCTTCAGTGCATCTGTCTACAAAGAGGGGGCTGCATGCTTGGTTTTCTCATCATGCAAAACATTTTAATATAAAAATCAAGTTTCTTGGAGTACAAGAATTAAGACAATGCATATTCAAGTACAATTGATAAGACGCCCTGAAGATCTTGGATTGTTCAAAGCATCATTGGCCACTTAGGACCAAGAATAACGGTTAGGGATTGTTGGAATGCAACAAGATAAGGGCTTGGGAGCCCTCCAGCTGGTCATGCAGCCCACATAGTAAATGGCATAAGGTCATCCATACAGGCCAACTCCAACGTCATAACAGTAAGCAACAATATTCTGAATATTACCCTGGACGTCTTTAGCTCATGTTTTTCCTTCACTTCTCATTCATTTCATCTCAACAAAGCAGTATGTTTATGTTTGAACCACCTGTTTATTTTGCCTGCTAAGGCTTAAAGTGGCTTCTCCCACACATTAAAAATACCAAATACTTATTTCTGTTTCATAGGTGCCAGCCAAAGGAAGATACGTGTTCTTTTAAAAGCTGCAGTTCTGACTTTGTTTTTGGAGAAAACATGGTAGAAAGAGTTTTGGTAAGATTTTGATAAATTATCTAGAGGAACTGTCCTTTCACATTTCTCAAGGCAAATTAATTAGTGTTCAGTTCAAGAATACTTCCTAGTTCTGGGTTAAAAGTCACAATTTCTTTCTTTAACTACAAAAGGTTTCTGGGAAGTATGTCCCAGCTGTTTGAATAATTGATGTGAAGCCCATAGAGTAGTGGTTCTCAGCCTTCTTAATGCTGCGACCCTTTGATACACTCCCTCATGTTGTGGTGACCCCCAGCTATAACATTATTTTGTTGCTACTTCATAATTGTGATTTTGTTACTGTTAAGAATTGTAATGTAAATACCTGTGTTTTCTAATGGTCTTAGATGACGCCTGTGAAAGGGTCATTTAATCCCCAAGGGGTTGCAACCCACAGGTTGAGAACCACTGCCCGAGAGGAAGGAAACTGTACGATCATTTCATTATTACCGATGTGAAGTGTCAAACAGTTCTTTGCCTTGTGTTAAGCCTAAATTACTCATTGAACTTTCAGAAACACGCAGCTGTTAGATGATAAGCTTAATGAGTAATATTTTAATAGAGTGTTTTCAGCATTGCTTTTCTTTAATTTTTAAAAATTGTTTGACAGTTATATGTAGTTTTTGTCATTTACACACAGTCTCTCTCTCTCTCTCTCTCTCTCTCTCTCTCTCTCTCTCTCTCTCTTTCATCTTCCTCCCTTTCATGCTGGAGCTGTTCTCAACAAGTTCCCATCCTGCTGTTCATGTCTTCCTTTTCTGTGTGGCCTACTGAATGAGTTCCTTGCCTGAGCATGAGTGGGAGGTTATTTACTGGATCAAGGGCAACTTCTCAGTGGCTGCCCCACTGAACAAATGTCACCCTGTCGAAGATAATAAATCAATATGCTCTTATTAACCACAGCTAAACCTTTACTTTGAAAAACATTATTATAATCATTTGCATTTTAAGAGAAAAATCTAGGTGCTTTACTTGTCTAGGAAACAGGTGAAAACTTCCAACTGCTATTCTGCCATTTATGTTTAATTCCCCTGCTGCTGCTGGGCCTTGCCCAGAACTTTGATTTTTTTAAGGCAGCATTACTGTAAAGCAAGGAGCAGTAGAGCAAAGTGAAAGCCTTGGCATGCCCGCACATTGTCATGAATCACAGGGTTTTCCAGCCTTTGCTTAAACTAGAGTGATATCTGAACTTGGCATGAGGGGATTGTCTTAGGGTTACCTGTTACATGGGGCAGGTCAGTGAAGTGGCAGAGATTTCTATGATCAAAGAACACGATGAATATGTCTGAAAATGTCACAATGTCACAGCGAGGGGCTGGGGAGAGGTGGCTCAGTGGGTATGACCGCTTGCCGTGCAAGTGCAGGAATCTGTGTTGGAATCTGCAGCGCCCCTGTTAAAACCAGCTTAGCTAAAATGGCAGGTTTCTGGGCTAGTGAACGACCCTGCTTCCAGGGAAGAAGGCAGAGAGCCATAGAGGAAGATGCCAATGACATCCTCCTCTCGCCTCTGCATGCCTGCGCACCATGGATGAACACACCTGCATAATCACATGTGCACATATACCATGCATGCACAATACACACACACACACACACACACACACACACACACACAGAGAGAGAGAGAGAGAGAGAGAGAGAGAGAGAGAATGCCACAATGAAATGCATTATTTTGTACAATTAGCATATGCTAATAAAAATGAAAAGAAAAAAATTCTCAAAGCTAGTTGATTTCAGTATTTTTAGAGCTCTCCTGAGTCAGGTTTTTTTTTGGATCTTGCTTGTTGTAGACACACCTCAGGACTGTCCCTAATTCTAAGGTTAGCTCTGTTGCTTTTTAGCTTAAAGTACCCTTCTGTCACTGCCAAGAAGGTCAGGTCCACCTGGAGTGCGGGTCCAGGCCTCTCATTCTAGCACTGGGAGGCTGAGGTAGAAGGGTAGACAGTTCGAGGCCAGCGAGCACTGAACAGTGAGACCATCTCAGACTATCAAAAAACAAAACAAAACGATGGGCAACTCCACCAACAGCGGAGATAGTGACCCACATCTTTGGATCAGAACTGGAGTGCACCAAGCAAGCTCCAGGGCAAAGCATCTAGGCAGGTTTTTTTTTTCCCCCCTAAGTTTGACACTTGGGTAGTCATGGGCTCTGTAGGATGCCAGGCACAATTAAGATGCTTTCCATATTCACAAGATGCCCTTTAACATGCACTTAACCAACCACATACCATGTTCCTACGGTACACGAGGTCCTGAGTTCACATACTGATGACCTTGTTGCTTACACAGTTTTCACTCTTAGTTGCCTAAAGTAATTTTAGGCACATTTGGTTTGATTTCTACACAATAAGTGGACGTTGTCTGCAGAATGTAGACTTTTTAAAATGATGACATGAAAGCAGAGGGAGCACTATTTGGGAGGAGGAAGGGGGCCAGTGGGAGGGGAGGAGTGTAGCTGGAGTTTTCTCCAGTTCTGCCTGGTCCACAGTCAGGACAAATCTCTCTCACCTGCCAGTCCCACAGCCACTTTGACCCAACCAAGTAAACACATAGAGACTTATATTGTTTAAACTGTTTGGTCTAATGGCTCAGGCTTCTAGCTATCCAGTTCTTACATCTTAAATTAATCCATTTCTATAAATCTATACCTTGCCACGTGGCTCGTGGCTTACCGGCATCTTCACATGCTGCTTGTCATGGCGGCGGCTGGCAGTGTCTCCTCCCACCTTCCTGTTCTCTCAATTCTCCTCTCTGTTAGTCCTGCCTATACTTCCTGCCTGG